CAGCTGCACGCGCAGCAATACCAAGCTGGCACCGTCGGCGTAGGAGGTGCAGGAAAATCGTGAACCAGTGCTGCACCTTTCGAAACGAATGGCAGGGTTCAGAGGTCGTCAATACTGCACTGCTAAAACGAATGGCAAGGTGCAGCACCTCGTGAACTGGTTCATGTAGTCCAGGCGAATCGAACGGACATTATGACTGTTCACCAACAGCATTTTCTTTAGGTATTCCACATTAATGGCATTACACCACAAAAGTTCTTATTTTCATTTCTTAAGCAACACTCATTCAGCTTCAAAGTGTACCTCAGATCCATCAGACAATAAAGAATGTTCGAAATGGATCATCAAATAAATTGTGTATTTTTGTCACGAACAAAATGTTGCACTCAAGATCATAAGGTTGCCATTATTGGTACAGTTTTAGAAAATCGCAAGCGTGAACATATGTGGCTGTGACCGACAAGGTTCGGTTTGGCTTTGCACATAGAATTTCCTAAATGTACACTAGAGGGAACTCTTGCGCTAGTGTCTATCGGGGCTACAATGCATAGTGCTTCAGCGAGCATGGGAATTATTGGTATGACATGGATTTGCATGGTCTCCGTACTTTACATTCGTTCTGATTTCGCGTGGCTTGAAAAAACCGCTTTCTGACGAAACAAAAATCGGCAAATGTACGGCAGTTATGCTTCACCACCATAATATTGGAAGTTTACCACTTCAAATCCGATGCGAAGTGAAAAATGTTTTGTTCTTTCCTTCGAAACAAAACCAAAACACAGCAATAAACGAAGCCACAAGTGCATGCGCCACCTGCAAGCACGAAGACTAAGCAAATTCATATCATACCCGTAATTCCCATGGTCGCTGAATGATCACAGCGCCAGAGTCCCCTCTAGTTAATTTTAGGAAACTATATGGCGTTGCATAACTCATTGCCAGACTGCCGCTGAATCTGTCAGCTATGTTTTAAGCTTTCCTGTATTGTTTTCCCATTGGCTCTCGCTGTTTTCCAAGTTTGCGTGGTGTTCCCGTGTCACTAGGGTGCCAGTAACCTACGTGCCTATATAAAAACTTAAGTAAAGAGCGGTCACTCCAGTAGGGCCTTACGGCCAAGCTTCTGCACTGCTTTCAGCGCCACGAACGGCTGGTCAGACCCAATATGTCTTCAGCATAAATAAAACAAAAAAAAAAGCTTCTTTCTGATGCTGGGATTTGAACTTGTACCCTCATGCTTCAGAAAGCGAGTGTCTTTACCACTGCTTTCACAAAGGGATTACATGTACATCCACGTGAATGCTTTGTAAAACCAGGCAAAACAAATGCAAAAAGACAGCACTACCTAGTCGGACTTCACTGATTTTTGTGGTAGTGCATTGAACGTCCTTAGCAGGACAGGATGCAGAGTTGACATAGAGAATTGCATAAATCAATAAAATTTCTTATTTCAAAAAATTTCAATGCCAAGCTAGGGTCTCAGTCGTCCTCCTAAAGCGGCTACTACGTGTGTTGAAGAACGAGTAGAAGCAAGCATGGGTACGTCATCTAGCAGTTGTTCAGACCCTTCCTTGCTCGGTCGCCAAAAGGCTCGAGCGGCCACTCTTTATACAAGTATATTTCTCTATGTCATGCCACTTCAGGGTTCTCAGTATTTTGCGAGAGTCTGTGTGTGGCACTAAGGCACCAGCAACATACGTGCCACTTCGAGGTTGTCAGTACTTTGCAAGCATCCGTGATGAGCATGAGTCGCCTACGTCACCACACAGCAATGGAGGTAATCGTACTTCGGCAACAACGATGTATGCTGCTTACGCTGTGTGTAAAGTTTTGCAACACCGTTCCCCCGGTAAATCTATCGTTGCGCATGGGTCCGCTACTTCAAGTCCAAATTCAGCTTCCGAGGCATAATCAAATCCGGTTTGTTAATATTAGAATAGAACGTACAGCGAAAAAAGGGGGTCTCGCGCTTTTGCAACACACACGGGCCGCTAAATAAAACAACCATGTCAATAGACCGCCGTGGCCCACATGGCGCATACACAAGTTGAGCATAGAGTAAAAAAGAATGTTATTCGGCACAGCTCTCAAAGCAACAATGATTGATATGTGCGGTTTAATGTCCTAAAACCACCACATTTGTGCCATTAGAGAACGGAATCGCTTATCAAATAAACAAGTATTAATGATGTTTTTTTCTTTACATTGTAACGCCTCTGTTGCAGCGCCTTCGGGCTAAAGAGCGTATTCATTGAATAAAGAATAAAGATGCCGTAGTAGAGGTCCCCGGAAATTTCGACCACCTGGGGTTCTTTAATGTGCAGCCAAATCTGAGCAGACGGGCCTACAGCATCTTTGCCTCCATCGAAAATGCAGTCGTCGCAGCCGGAATTATATCCCACGACCTGCGGGTCAGCAGCTCCCAAAGCAACATATGCATGTCAGTCGCAATAAATGAGTGGTCCTTGAGAAGAGGAAAAAAGCACCAAATTTCTGTCTGCCTCTTGGGCAACACGGCACAGTGCCTTGTAGGAGAGGAGGGATAAAAACAATAGTGGAAAGATATAGAGAAATGAAGACAGGCAAGCGACAGAAAAAGAAGGAGATAGGAAAGCTGGGAGCCGGTCGAAGAAGTTCGAGGACGGGGCACCACACAGCGAGAGCTTCACGACGTCAGGAGGTCGAATCGGTCCGCGAGAGCTACCCTGGCGTCACAGGTGGTGGGCAGCACAACCGTTCAGCTTGAAATCCTCCGAGCAACTCCACACAACTTCTGTGCACAAACAAACAACTTCTGTCCAACTACAGACCGATATCACTTGATTTCAATTCTGGTAAACTGCTTGAGCATATCATTCACAATCATATAACAGAATACCTTGAGTCGAATAACTTACTCTCGAACATTCAACATAGTTTTTGTCGTGGTTTCAGCACACTAACACAACTGGTCGAATTTTCACATGACATTTCCAGCAACCTTGACATTGGTAATCAGATTGATGCGTTGTTCATAGACTTTTCCAAGGCTTTCAACATCGTTATACACAATAAGCTGCTAAGTAAAATTTACGTTATTTTAAACAATCCTTGATTAATCAATTGGATAGCTAGCTTTCTTGAATCTCGATCTTAGTGTGTCATTCAACTTCACTTTGTCCTCAACTGTTGATGTAACTTCGGGTGTTCCACAGGGATCCGTTCTGGGACCTTTATTATTTTTAATATTTATAAATGACCTTCCGAACAATATGAAGTCAAAAGACTGTCTTTATGCCGATGACTGTGTCTTATATTTCACCTCTTGGCGATCATACCATACTTCAGGATTCCTTCACCAGCTTTTGCACATGGTGTAGGCATTGGCAGATGCGCATTAACTTTCAGAAAACAGTAGTAGTATCATTCACTAACAGCCACTCCCCGTAGCCGCATGTGTACATTTCCGAGAATGCAATTATTCCCCGGGCACAAGAGTAAAAATACCTTGGGGTTATCACACAATTTACAATGGTCGCAGCATAGTGATTACATCACATTCAAGGCACTGAAAAAATTAGGTTACCTGCGTCACACGTCATCTCACTCTCCAAAATGCACTAAGTTACTGCTGTATAAAACCCTTATATGCCCTGTAATGATGTATGCTTCGCGTGCCTGGAACCCGTATAAAACATGTGATGTCAACAAAGTTGAATCTACAAAGGAAAGCGGTTCACTTCATTTGCCATCGCTACGATCGTAACTTTTCGCCTTCATCAGCAATGAATTTCTTGAAACTACCTCTCCTATCCACCAGATGGGATACCGATTCCTTGGAGCTATTGCATTCATTTCTTAACCCATCTTGTCGACTATCTTCAGATGATTACATGTCATATGCTAATACTCTTTCAACTAGGCGGTAACACAGCCTCGACTTAAAGCATTTCTTCACGCACATGAAGATTTTTAAAAAGAGCTATTTTCCTATAGTTATTGAAACGTGGAACGAATTACCCGGTAGTATTCGTGAATTATAGTTGTCTGATTTTGTAGACGCACTGTTATAAGTAATCAATGTCTCTTTTTTCTTTGCTATGAATGTTCAACCATGTAATCAGTGTACTTTGTTCATGTAAATGTACCGCACTCCTGCAATAGCGCCGTACAGGGCTGCAATATTTGAAAATAAATGAATAAATCACTCGCATCGAGGGTTTTAGAGGCAGCAGCTGAACTGTATTCACATTGGGCGCGCGCCACCACTTGTCTGCAGCAAGCGGTACACTTCGGCGATCTTTTCCCTGACTTCACGTTTTGCTTCGACGCTGTCGCACCTGTTCAAGACACTGTGCATGACGCTACAGTCGTACTTCTTGAGATATTTCAAACATGACCTGATGGTCCCTGCGAGCTGCAGAACCTTCAGTGTCACAGCTTCGTCCTTGATCTTCTTCACAAATGGAAGTGCTGACAAAGTCAAAGTGTGCGCGCCTCGGCGGGTCCGCAGCAAGAACACACGTGTGTGTGGGTTGAAGAACTTGATGGAGAGGTTGAACTTCGTCACGCCGAGACCAAAATTTCCGTGCAGGAAACGCACGGCCTTTCTCACGCACGCGTAGATGTCCCTTTCTGCGACGGGAAGCTGGTGAACGCGTGGATTTTGCCAGTCTTTCCATAAAATTTCAACCAAAACATACCGGTGTTTCACACGCACCATGTTTCATCACGTGTTTGATAGCGTTGGTAGCGACACCACAGAACACGGAGGAAGATCTTTCCTTCCTCCGTGGGTACCGATGACAATGCAGATCCGCCACTCTATGTGCCTTCGCCTTGGCCCAATACGTCAAATATTGTTTTTCTCGTCAGTGTCTCTTTTAAGATTGAGTACAAAAATTAAAATTCGTTGTGTGGAAAAAGTCGCATCTTCTTATTTTTTTTACTTTATTAGGGGCTTCATATTTATTTGTTGCACCAGTTACGAAACCAACATGACTGCATGCGATCAACTTGTTTTTTGCGCGCCAAGATTGTGTGGTCAGCTCTCGGGTTTCCGCTGGTGTGTCTGCTATGAGTACCAGACGTGAAAAAAAAGCTTGACCGTGACCTTTTGCGTACGCGGAAGTGAGGTTCACCTCGTTGTCTTCTCAAGATACCCAATATGTTTCGAGACGGGAAAGGCAACGAGCGAGCCTTGCTAGGCTGGAGTATGTTGGATCACGACGACAGTGTCAGTGACATCAACGACTGTGACGACTACTCCAATTCGTCAGCGTGCTTGCCTGACAATGTGTATTCGCATGTCGTGCCTGAACCTCAGTCAGTAGACGCGCTCATCTTCGGAGGGCAGAACGCAATTTTGCAACCCGAATCAACGCCAAGGTTGTCGGAAGCAGCAGCAGAACCGCCGGGCGAATCTGCAGCATCGCTCAAGCTACCGAGCGACATTCCCACCTTAATTTTAAATACCTCAGAAAGTGCCTCGTGGGCAACGGGCGTCGAAATTAATTCCCGGAGTCCATCTTTTGTACAAGATAGCATGCAAACCAGCAGTACGAGCAGAAAGCCGGCACGCAGAAGGCGGAAAACGTGCAGTTTTCAAGGTAACCAGTACGTGATTGATGAAAGCAGCAGTGACGATTCCGCAGAAGAAAGCCGCTATAGCCAGGACAGGGTGACGCGAGCCCGCATAGCCATCGACGAAATCACCGAAGATGAAATGAACAGCTCCACTGACGCGGAACCAACGAGACTGCAGCCGTCCTCGTTACGTAGCGCGGATACAGAATCGCCGATTTCAGGAAGTATTATTCATTCGGGCTCCGGCCTCGATGATGCACAGTTCAGCAATACCGAAAGCCCCACATCAAGGCAAAACGCTTTGAAAAATGGATTTGAAGAACGTCTTTTGGTGTCCAGGCAAAAGGAGAGTGCGGACTTGACACTTTGGAAATTCTACAAAGAAAATGCCAACTTCCCTAAAACGTTTTATCCTGATGCACCTGAAACATTTACGGCGAAGATACTTACCCTGGAAAACGTTTATGGCACCGCCTTCTGTGTCTGCGAGATTGACAGCCTCACACATGACAAATCAGAGGTGTGCATTGCACTTCCATTGGAACTAGTCAATCGTGAAAAGTTTGATACTGGTGCACTCTTACGTATTCATCCACCGTGGAGGGAGTACGAGCTTTCAACTTATCCCAAAAAAATCATTTCTGGTGTGCAGTGTTTTGAAGTGCTGGAAAGACATTAGTCTCGTGATATAAACTTAAGAAAGTTGTGTCACCACAAATGTATAGACTTTAAGGGCACTGTTTTGTTTATTATTTATGTGCTTTCGCAAAAGTTTGTGTAATGCAAAAATTTTATTACTGACTTGATATGCTTCGGCCACATTTAAATTTGCTGTAACTTTGCATAACAGCTTTAATAGGGCCAAAGGAAGGTGTACGTTAAGGGCTCATTTTCTTCGTTAGACACAATATTTATGAGATCTAACAGGCAATCATGCCGAGGAAAGTATAGGGGATGTTATTACAAGTAATTGTAATGTAAATGCGAAAAAAGAAAAGTGGACAAAAAGATGACTTACCGTGGGCAGGGACCGAACCTGCGACCATCGAATAACACGTCCGATGCTCTACCAACTGAGCTACCATGGCGGCTGTCCTCCCCTGTCCTTTTGATGAGGTATATATGTGCATTATATATAAGCGTAAGAGCGTCAGTCAGCACCACCTGCAGCCATGACGGCAAGTGTGGAACGCCCTTTATCTGCCTGTTTGGCATCATGTATGACGTGACCTTATTACTAGCTGGCAGCCGACCGATGTGTCTCTTCATTTTAACATAAAGCTTTATTTTTAATCCCACAGGCTTGGTGTAGATTAGATAATATCTAAATAAAGTTGTTGGTTGACAAATGGTATGGTTGAGTGCACCCATGTGCTGCGTTGTCAAACTATGAATCTTGTTATAAAACACACACACACACACACACACATATATATATATATATATATATATATAGCACGTACTGAATGGTTTTTTTTTATTCTCTTGTAAATAAATTAGTGATCATCATCACTAATTTATCATCACTAAAAATGTGTTTGTCGACAACTCTGAGTAGTCGGTGGAATCAAGAAGTAACATTAATCATGCACTGGCAAGTGTGCATTTAACCGGAAAGACTACCCTGGGCACATGGTTTAAAAGTAAATTTTTCAACTCCCCTTCCCATTCGAAAGACATTTCTTTATTATAATTTGAATTATTTTCTAGAATGGAAAAAGTTCATTAAATTTTCACTTTTTAGGGCGGCTTCCTTGAAAAAGTCGCAGCACCTTTGTAATGATTTGCTTGGTAGCATCTGGCAACTCTGGGGCTCAAGATTATATAGCACATAATTCTTGATATTTTGTATGAGTCCTCTGTTATTCCATAATCACACGATCTATCACAGCGTCAAAGCTTTTAAGACCTTTTTCTTATCATATAAAATTTGTCAGGATTGTCTGCGACGACTAATAACTGGAAACAGAGGACATCTTTTATGGCATGTATTGCTACTTACAAACTTTAGCTATGAAGCTTGATTGAGTTAGCAAAGTAGCAGCACTAATGGATGGCACACATGCGCAGCCTTGTCAACTCACTGTTAGCTTTATACGATAAAGGAAAAAATGCACTATCTGATGTGCATGCAGAGAGAAAATATACCATATATTTAAATGAATTTATGGCTATTGTACATGATTTAGTATAATTTATTTCACAATTGTTTTACACTAGGTGGCACTGCCACACCATTGAGGCAGGAGGAGCTGATGGTATATGGGGTTGTGGAGACACATCTTCGGGACATGCTGCAACCACCTCACAATCCTGACTACGTATAGGAATATTGCAATAGAACAGAAGGCAGCAAAAAGGGGGGTGGAATTGGTGCCTTCATACATAAGAGCATGGGTTGGCAAAGAGTCAAGCAGGGATGCATGGAATATTTATGGTTAAGAGGTAAAGTAGCTGGGCAGATGACACTCCTTGGTTTGGTGTATTTGTAAACGGGAGCAAGGGCCAGAGAGAAAAACCAGGCAATTGTGGAGTGTATATCAAAGGACATTGAGGAATTAGGAGGAGTGTGCGAGATAATTATACTAGGAGATTTGAGTGCACACATAGAAGATATAGATGGGTATACTGACTCAACAGGCAAATGATCATGGATATGGGTGAAAGGCATGATTTGATCATTTGCAACAGTACTGAGAAGTGTGAAGGGCAAATAACATGCGAGGTAGGAAGGCTACAGTCAACGATAGATTACCCACTGATGTCACATGGGATGTATGATAAGCTCAGGGGAATGCACATAGATGAAGGTGGCTCCAAAAGTCTCGGTAGTGATCAAAAACGTATCAAGCTAAGTTTTGGAAGAGCAGTGAAAGTGGCAAGGAGACAAGATGAGCAACTACAGGAAAATTTTCATTCAGAAAGACAAATAGAAATTGCTACTAAACAAATTGAGAGAGTAATCACTGAGGATATTAAATAGAGTGGACATACACGAATCTCATTAGACTGTTTGAGCTAGAGCTCGCTAAGGCACGTTTCAAGTCACCCCAGAAAAGAAGACACAAGCCCAAGAGTTGGTGGGATGAGGAAGTTAAGAAAGCCATAGCAAAACGTCAGGAAGCCTCTAGAGAACACAGACATGCTAAGCAGCGGGGTGAACTGATAGACGATGCTGAAAGAAAATGGGACATCTTTCTAAGCTCTAGAAGGAAAGCATCCCTCCTGATCAATGAAAAGATTATAAGAAAGGGTGCTCAGTGGCTATCAGAAGTACATAAAAAGGACAGAAAGGCAGCTGCGAAATTTTGGAACCATCTAAACTCTCGAAGAAATTAAACAACCCTAGAGCAGAGGTTTATAACTACAGCTCAAGGTGCTAGGCTAGAAGGCGACGAAGCTGTTGAATATATAAGAACAAGGGTGACAGAAAAACGTCAACAAAGAAGTGCCTTATGCACTACGATAGACAAGAATGGATCAAGTGGTGCAATGGCTCCATTTTCCTAACGAGAGTGGAAAAGGGCTGAGAAGAGGGTTCCAAGTAGAACATCAACAGGCCCAGATGGCATTCCAATTATGCTGATAAAGACATTGGGACCGAAGTCTAAACAGACTTTGAGAGAGGCAGTGAGCAGAACAATAATCGATGGTGAAGTCCCCGATGGATGGAAACTTAGCAGGATGAGCATGATCTATAAAGGAAAGGGGGACAAAGCTGACATAAACAACTACCGTCCTATAACAGTGACATCAGTGGTCTACAGGCTGGCGATGCAGATTATAAAGGAAAGACTGCAGGCATGGATAGACGATGAGGGGGTGCTGGGGGAACTGCAGAATGGGTTTCAGAAACACAGCAGGTTGGAAGACAATCTGTTCTCACTGACGCAGTGCATCAAAACAGCAAAAAAAAAACTCAGGCCCCTGTGACTAGCATTTTTGGATATCGAGAAAGCGTACGATAGCGTGGTTCAAGAGGACTTGTGGGGAATACTGGACACACTAGGTGTGAAAGATGGAGTCACTAATCTTTTAAAGGAAATCTATAAAAGTAACAAGGTACACTCTAAAAAAATATCGAGTAAAAAGGGTGTCTTTTTGTCCCACAGCAATAATCGTCATCAGGCTTGCGTGAGTTTCCTTTCTTGAAAACTCTGCGCTGGTCACTTTCCTATCGAGAATGCAATGTAACCCTGATAATGGGCATGTCGATCGTGACCGGAATGTACCGGGCGATGGGCGATAGCGCAAGGATGGAATGCAATATAGATGACGATTATTGTTGTGGGACAAAAAGACACCCTTTTTACTCGCTCTTTTTTAGAGTGTAGTTATGAAGTGGGAAAAACAGGTATCCACACCCACAGAGGTGAAATGGGGGCTTAGGCAGGGGTGTCCTCTGTCACCCTTGTTATTCATGACGTACCTACAAGGATTAGAAGCCAAACTAGAGGGAAGTGGACTAGGCTTCAACCTCTATTTCGTGAGACAAGGAAAACTCATTGATAAGGCACTACCAGCATTAATGTACGCAGATTATATAGTGCTAATGGCCGACAACAAGGAAGATTTGCAGAGATTGATGGACATCTGTGGTAATGAGGGAGATAGGTTAGATTTCAGATTCAGTGAGGAAAAGTCAGCAGTCATGATTTTCAATGATAATCAAGGTTGTGAGCTTAGGATACAGGAAGTCGCGCTAGCGATAACAGATAAATACAAATATCTGGGCGTATGGATAAGCGATGGGACCGAGTAACTAAGTGAACACGAAATATACGTGACGACTAAAGGTAACAGGAATGCAGCGGTAATGAAAAACAGGGCACTGTGGAATTACAATAGGTATGATGTTGTGAGAGGAATATGGAAAGGTGTCATGGTTCCTGGACTGACGTTCGGCAATGCGGTCTTGTGCATGAAATAAGAAGTTCAAGCAAGATTAGAAATTAAGCAACGTGGAATAGGTAGGCTTGCTTTAGGAGCTCACGGGAATGCACCAAATCAGGGAGTACAAGGTGATATGGGATGGACATAATTTGAGGGCAGGGAAGCTAGCACCAAGATAAAATTTGAGAAGCAATTGAGAGAAATGGGGGAGGAGCGTTGGGCTAGGAAGGTATTCAGCTACTTGTACATGAAGAATGTCGACACAAAATGGAGGAAGCGAACCAGAAAATTGACTGGTAAATACTTATAAAACAGCAGGGGGCCAAACCAAGAAAAATTATCGGTTAAGAAAAAGGTAAAGAAAGCCAAGACCGATATGTGGAGAATTGGCATGATTAAGAAGTCCGCACTAGAGATCTATCGAACTTTTAAGCAGGAAATTGCCAAGGAAAGGATCTATGATAATACTCGGGGTAGTTCTCTACTGTTTGAGGCCAGGATGGGAGTATTGCGAACCAAGACATATTGGGCCAAATACGAAGGGGTAGACACGGTTTGCAGTGCGTGTGGAGAAGAAGAAGAAACTGCCCAACACTTGATAAAGTTCTGTAAAGGGCTTCACCCTATAGTTCAGGATGATGGCGCAGAGTTTTTCAAAGCACTGGGGTTTAGGGACAGGGAGGGCAAAACAGACTTTAAGCGGGTAGGATAAACTAGAAGGAGGTTATTTGATTGGTGGCTAAAGTCAAGGCACGAGTGAAAATCAAACCCTTCACTGCAAAGTGCGAATCCTCAACCTCACTATTTAAAGGAAAGAAAAAGATAAATCTAGTGGTTAGTTCACTAAGTATTACTGCTAGGTGGGGTTAGCTGCTACCCGATCTAAAGGGTATAGCCACATCCATCCATCTATCCGTAGGTGTGTTCATATGTGCTGTCCATGCGTCTGTGCACAGGGGGTGTTCTGCATGTCTAGTCATCCAAGTCATCGTGATCTCAAAAAGCACATGCAGCGAGTTTTCTTATGGCATGTGCATGGACATTCAAAATAGCGACGCTGCCGCAGTGATTGTCACGGATTACATCAAGTGCATACCTCTTATACATCACTGCTCGGGCTCAAAGCTTTATTTCATATCGCTATGGGTCCAACTATAATTTTTTTGTAGCAATCTTAATTTATATGTGCTGAGTAGTTTGCTGTTGATGCACATATGAAGTGAACCATGATTTCATTTTACTGAGCTGCCAAGCTTACCTCATTCATATGCACTTATTAAGGAAATAAAACTGCTTGAATACTGGGGATTTAATAAAGAACAAAATGACTTTCAGCTCTCTGGGCACTAGCTGATTATTCAACATAATGCAACAGCAGCACAGGTATGACAAAGCACACAGGAACATGAAGCCAATGCTCCCACAATTACTGGACTAAGCTGAGCATCGTTGCTGG